GGGTTACTTGCTATGCAGGAACACACAACTGATAAAATGGCCTCAAGTTGTGGAAAGCAAAAACAGCCATCGTGACAAGGAGAAATAGACAAATCCCTAAGCCTCGTGGCAGATTCTAACAGCCTCTATCATATATGGATAGATCGTGCAGAAAAAAAGTGTAAGCATGTTGGAAGATAGTAGTACTGTTAGCTCATAGTTACTGAGAACTTAGGTGCTGAGCACCATTCAAAGTATTTTTGCTTGGATATAGAAACTTGCACCAAAAAATAGAGAGCATACATTATTTCAAATATCAAAGAGCACCACAAATATCAACCAGTTATGAGATCACAAAGAAAATCTCAATGTATTTCAAATAACCTGTTGTACTAATCACTGTCTCTACTAAATACAATGCAATTAAATTAAAAAGCAACAGGGGGCCTGGGTGGCTCTGTTGGTCAAGCGTCTGACTTCGGCTCAGGTCATGATCTTGAGGTTAGTGAGTTTGAGCCCCGTGTCGGGCTCTGTGCTGACAGCTCGGAGCCTGGAGCCTGCTTCAGATTCTGTGTCTCCCTCTCTCTGCCCCTCCCCCCTCACACTGTCTCTTTCTCTCTCAAAAATAAATAAATATTAAAAAATTTTTTAATTAAAAAAAGTAAGAAATTTTAATTAAAAAAATAAAATGGAGCAAATATGTGCAAAACGCACATCGACAAAAGACCTGTATCTACAATAGAAAATAACTCTGAAAACTTAATTAGAAAACAAAGAAAACAACCACATTTTTTAAAGGGGCAAAAACTTTGAACACTTTATCAGAGAAGATAACTGGATGGCAAAGAAGCACATGAAAAGATACTCAATGTCACTAGTCAACAATGGAAACAACCCAAAGGTCCTTCAACTAGCGAATGAATAAACAAACTGGAACAGCCATCTGATGGGATGCTATTTGGCAACAAAAAGGAAGGACTTATTGATACACATAATAATGTGGATAAAATCAAATGCATTATGCTAAACAGAAACCAGTTTCAAAAAGTAAGTCATAAATGGTTCTATTTATATGACATTCTGAAAGTGCACTTTTTAGTTTTTGCTTTTTTTTTTTTTTTTTTTTTTTTTTTTTTTTTTGCAGAGCCCAACACAGAGCCCAACACTGGGCTTGAACTCACAAACCTGAGATCAAGAGTCCAATGCCCAACCAACTGAGCCCACCCAGGCACCCCTATATGACATTCTGTAAAAGGTAAAACTATAAAGACAGAAAACGGGTCAGTGGTTACTAGGAGCCGGGGCAGGGGTGGGGTTGGCTACAAAGAAAAACAGAGGAATTTTGGAGGAAGATGGAACATTTCTTGATCGTGGCAGTACTTACATGATTTTCTTTTTTTTGGCAGTTACGTGATCGTATGAGTGTCAAAACTAAAAACTAAAAAGGAGTGCATTTTACTGTATATAAATGATATGTTAATAAATCTGAGTAAAATAAACAAAACTAAGGAAATAGATCAACTTCTGGTGATACTGCTCAAGATAAAAGACAAAGTCACACAAGTTTAAACAAATTTTAGGAATTGAGAAATATAATTACAGACCTGATTACAGATAATAAAATTTTAAAAATCAAAACACTTTACACCAACAAATTCGAAAATATATATTAAAATAGTAGCTCACTTTCCAACCCGGGCCTGGCAGGGTGGCTCCCGCAAAGAAGGATGGAGACAAGAAGAAGGGCCGTTCTGCCATCAACGAGGTAGTAACCAGAGACTACACCATCAACATTCACAAGCGCATCCATGGAGTGGGTTTGAAGAAGCATGCCCCTCGGGCACTCAAAGAGATCCGGAAATTTGCTATGAAGGAGACGGGAACCCCAGATGTGCGCATCGACACCAGGCTCAACAAAGCTGTCTGGGCCAAAGGAACAAGGAAATTCCATACCGTATCCACATGCGGTTGACCAGAAAACGTAACAAGGATGAGGATTCACCAAACAAGCTCTGTACGCTGGTTACCTATGTACCTGTCACCACTTTCAAAAATCTACAGGCTGGTTTTTTTTTTTTAATTTTTTTTTTTTTACATTTATTTTTGAGAAACAGAGTGAGACAAAGCGTGAACGGGGGAGGGGCAGAGAGAGTAGGAGACACAGAATCTGAAGCAGGCCCCAGGCTCTGAGCAGGCAGTCGGCACAGAGCCTGATGCGGGGCTGGAACCCATGAACTGTGAGATCATGACCTGAGCCGAAGTCGGACACTCAACCGACTGAGCCACCCAGGCGCCCCAAAAATCTACAGACTGTTAATGTGGATGAGAACTAATTGCTGATTGTCAAATAAAGGTATAAAACTGCAAAAAAATAAAAAAGATAAATTAATTAAAAAAGTAAAATGGTAACTTCATAGAAAAAAAAAACCCACCAAAATTAATAAAACAGAAAACCTAACTAAATCAACAATCATTCAGGAAATTAAACTGGTAATCAAAAGTATCTCCCATCAAAAAGACACCAGGCACATATGATTTTATATGTCAGCTTTATCCAACTGTTAAGAAACCAGTAAACTCCTGGGGCGCCTGGGTGGCTCAGTCGGTTAAGCATCCGACTTCAGCTCAGGTCATGATCTCGCGGTCCGTGAGTTTAAGCCCCACATCAGGCTCTGTGCTGACCGCTCAGAGCCTGGAGCCTATTTCGGATTCTGTGTCTCCCTCTCTCTCTGACCCTCTCCCATTCATGCTCTGTCTCTCTCTGTCTCAAAAATAAATAAACGTTAAAAAAAAGTTTTAAAGAAACCAATAAACTCTATATCCTACAAAGTGTTTCAGAAAATTTTAAAAAGGTGAGCAAGCTATTTTGTTTTATGGGGTTAGTATAGTTTTCTGATAGCAAATAAGTACAAGAAAAATTACAGATCATTTTCACTAAGGAATATAGATGCATAAAATTTTTTAAAAACTGCTCTATTTTATTTTTCTGTATACATTGTTTAAGTTATTTATTTATTTATTTATTTATTTATTTATTTGATTTAAGTAATCTCTACATCCAACCCAGGTTCAAACTCATGACCCCGAGAGCAAGAGTTGCATGTTCTCCCAACTAAGCCAGCCAGGCTTCCCCAAAACTGCTGTATTTTAAGGGGTGCCTGGGTGGCTCAGTCGGTCAAGCGTGCAACTTTGGCTCAGGTCAGGATCTCATGGCTCCTGAGTTCAAGCCCTACGTCTGTGCTGACAGCTCCGAGGCTTGGGTCTGCTTTGGATTCTGTGCTTCTCTCTGTCTCTGCCCCTCCCCTGCTCTTGCTCTGTCTCGGTCTCAAAAATAAATAAACGTTTAAAAAAGTTAACACACACACACACACACACACACACGCACACACACACAAGCTCCCACATGCTCTTATCACAATGAAGTAGGGTTTAGCAAGGATACAATGTTAGTTTAACAGCAAATACTTCTATCAATATTCATCACAATGTATTATATTACCAAATTAAAGAAAAATGTGTTACCATCTTCATAGATGCAGAAGAGGCATTTGGTAAAATTAAACATTCATTCATTTTTAACAACACTCGGCACACTCGGGATTAGAGGCGTTGACTACGGTGATGCCCACAGCCAGACTGTGAGGGACACGCGTAAACTAACACAGATCCAGTTTCTTGGTACTTGCTGCCATGGGGTGGCTTGCACACCTCAGTAAAGTACTGCCAGGGGCTTGTGTGAAGTATTTTGGGTAAGTTTCAAAACAACATGGTTTTATTTTGGACTAAGTGCTGCCAGAAAGTGGGGGCAGATTTACATTTCAATTTTTTTAAGTGTATTTGTTTTGAGAGAGAGAGAGAGAGAGAGAGAGAGAGAGAAAGAGAGAGAGAGAGAAAGCAGCAGATGGGCAGGCAGAGAGAATCCCAAGCAGGCTCTGTACTGTCAGCACAGAGCCCGCTGAGAGGTTCAGTCTCACGAACTGTGAGATCACGGCCTGAGCAGAAATCAGACACAAGCAACTGAGCCCCACTATATTTCAATTTTTATCGAGGAGGCCCTCTGGACCCCACCTGTCGTGACTCTCTGCCTGCTGCCGTCTCTACTGGTAATTATGACACCTAGAGCAGGCTTTAAAACCTCTAAGGTGAGGGCCACCTGACTGGCTCAGTTGGTCAAACATGTGACTCTTGACCTCAGGGTCGTGAGTTCAAGCCCACGTTAGGTGTAGAGATTATTTAAGTAAATAAATAAAATAAACT